TAGATAGATTAGCTAATCCCACCAATCACTCTTTTATTTAAAAATTCTCTCATTAAATCTCAAACCTAACCCCCACATTCACAGTCTTTCATCCTAAATTCATTGCAAGAATAATGAAATCGAGTTCTAAGGTTTCAAGTGCTTCTTCAAGCTATGATATGGTGGACGAGAAAGAGAGAGTGTGTTTACTATTTTAAGGTGATTTCAAACGTATATCTCCTTTATCTAATAATATGTTAAGTCTCATTATGAATATGATAAATTATTTAATTACCACTTCAAAAAAGATATGATAATTAGAATAGATTAATATAATAATTTAATATTCAAAAAAAAATTAAGGTTAATATTGACCATAGAATTTTTTTTCTCAAACTCGTACTTTTAAAGAGAGTATGATATGATTAGATAGATTAACTAATCCCACCAATTTCTCCTCTATTTAAAAATTCTCTCATTAAATCTCAAACCTAAACCATAAATTCACAGTCTTTCATCCTAAATTCACTGTAAGAATTATGAAATCGAGTTCTAGGGTTTCAAGTGCTACTTCAAGCTATGATATGGTGGAAGAGAAAGAGACGAGGGTTTACTATTACAAGGCGATTTCAAACATGAAAATAGCATGGATAATAGAGAACTACAGGAGACTTTTTTTTTGCTGTCCAAACTATCGAGCAAATATCAAAGTGTAGAGTTTTGCGTGGAAACATGAGCTCTTCCATCTCCAAGCTCAAATGGTGATTAATAAATTGTTATGTGAAAAAGATGTGTTCAAGGAAGGGGTGGACAATATTGGCAGAGAGAAATTGATAAGTTTGAAAGAGAAATTAAGAGAGAAGAAGAAGAAATTAATTGACGGGGAGAGAGAATAAATTACTTGATAACGAGAGTAATATTAGTCATTCAAAACCGTTAAAATTGATACGAGTGGATGAATGGTCAAACGACGACAGGTTCACCCCAAACTTAGTGTGTTAGGATTTTAGAATATATAGATCAAGTTCAACGGAGCAGATCATCCACAATGTCGTTCAATCATGTGATTTTAGAGGCGTCATAGGAGGAAATCCCCTCCTATGATAAGGATACCCATTAATCTCTCTCTCTCTCTCTCTCTCTCTCTCTCTCTCACATGAATTCATGTACAACCAAACAAAATTTTGTTGAATTTTTATCTCTCATGTAAATACTATTCAAAATACCTATTGTAAACAAATTAGATTTTGAACACAGATTGGTAAAAGTGTGACGGTACTCAAAACAATCTAAAAACTTCAAGCTTAATAATCTAGACATATATTAACCATATTTAGATCATACAAAATCATGATTATAAGAGAGGGAGAAGCCATCAACTTGCATCACGAACAAAGTTAAATTATGATTGCAATAGAAGCTCAGATTGGTGCTGTCGATAGTCAAAAATGTTGCAAAGGTATATCTTATGTTTTAGGGTTTTTATGCAATTTCAATCATTGTAGGATTTGTTTAATTTCTTATGTTTTAGGGGGTTTTGTAATTTTCTTGTCCTTTAGGGGATTATTTGTAATTTTTGATTTCTTGAGGATTGTTTTGTAATATTTATATTTCTTTATGTTCATAATTTCACATGTGTGTAATTTTTCATACATGATTTTATGGAGATAAAATCTATATGATTTTTTTGTTAATTTCTATACCACCATATGTGATTGTTAGATTTTTCTTCATGGATAGTTATAATGTAATACGCATACCAAATATTTTATTATTAGAATTTTAATTAAGAATATATTTAATTTGATGATAATTCCAAGGTGAAATGAAGATTAGATGTTAACACGTCATCTTCTGATAGTATAGGAAGACACGTGGTTATTTATGATATAACACATGTCAATTGTTTTTATATTTGAGAATAGTACATGTTAGTTGTTTTATGGCTTTAAGGGTACTACCAATTTCTCATTATATATAAAAGAGGGATATCTAATCTACAGATTGTAACCTAATTTGGTTTAGTTTTCTAAATTAATTTGTAATGTACATAAAACTCCTCAATTAAAAGTAAAATAACCGAAACTTCTCATTAGAGAGAAATGGCTAATCACATCCTATTGATTTTTTTAGAACATTCTAACCTATGATATATGTAAATACCATGAGAAAGCAAATCAATTTCTTATGTGCAAACGCATGATATATGTAGCAACACCAGCCCACACATAAGATTTTACGTAGCCTTACATTTTTATCATTTCTAAATTAGCCCTTGCCGAGGAATGTCACAAGTTTCAAAGACCTAGGCTGTTGACCCCCATAATTCTCATTTTAATTTCAACAATTCTCTACACAATAACTAAATTAGCAAATATCATAGACAAATTTTAACAGCCAAATAAGGAAAATATATATAAACAAAGTTAATTATAATGCCATAGTGTACACCTTTGCCAGAATTATCTCTTCCTAGTTCAGAAGCTCGTCCAATATGGAGTTTTGCTTGTCCAATATGGAATGAATCTGAAAAAATTACATTGCCAATCATGAATTACATGATAGGAATGATTATTGAATACATCTAATATGAATAGGATAATAACATAATCTAGCTTTACTCGTTGCCCTCGATATCTTCCCCGCCTACTTGATCGATATCAAACAATCATCATGATATAGCGGCGTAATTAAAAGAGAGTACTACTCATTTCGGTACGAGCAAAACGGGCACAAATCGTAGAAGATCATAGTAATAGATTTAAAACAATAATAATCAATCTAAATAGTTCACAAATTTGTTTCCCTTGTATAGGGTATAACACAAAGCAAAAGTACTAAAATGATTTTTCTTAAAGTAATTAGACTTCCTAAAAATAAAAAAAAAAACTAAATTGGATCAACACTCTTCGACGTACAGTTTGAGCTTGAAGTCGATTTTTTTTCACCCCAAAATCTGATTGGAACTGCTAAGCTGTGCGACTTGTAGAGTACTTCCTGGTCTTTCTAAAAAAATATAATAATAGTGATTCTATGGAGGGAATCAAAAGCTATGCTCCGTTGAAGTTGCACGCCAAAATCTGGTTGAAAATCATCATCTTTTCTTGGATCACCCGAGCTTCGCACGATCCGAATTTTTCCCAAAAGGCATCAACGGCGCATCACATCATTCTTCAGAGGTAGTGGAAGGTACTGATTCCAGAGCCCAGTCATTCCCGTGGGTAGTAGAACTGGTAGAACCTTTCGTAGTTGTCCTCGTTGATGATGAAAGGATATGATGACTTGTGGTGTGAGAAGAGGAGAAGCCAGGTATGACCACGGAGAAGAGGAACTCTGCTATGGTTTTCTGTGGGAGGTCATAGGAGCCTCTTTGCTTGCTTTGGCTTACTTCCATTCAACGGAATGAAATCTTCCGTGACGAGGGGCGTTTTGTTAGCTTGAGATTGTGAACTTTTATATAGTAGTGTAATAGTGGGAGAAAAGAGTTATAATGGCGTGGAAATTAGAAGGATGGGAGGTTTAATTAGATGTCATTAAATTGAGGTAATAGTGTAATTAAAGATTAATGAGGAATGGAGAAGTAGAAAATCGTTATGAGCAAGTGAAGACGAAGAGGTTAGTGAGGTGATCATAAGTTTGGTGACTTATCATAATACCATCATCATGTTTTTTGCATATTCAATTATATTATACAATTTAAAATGAGAATTAAATATAATCATGATGAATTAAAGTTTGATATTAATATTAGGTAGATGAGGACAACTTTGTTATATTTACAATAGTTGAAGGGTAACTTAGGGTATGAAAAGTTTTTTTGGTACTCCCTCTTTTAAAGTGTAGATGATATATTATTTGGTTCAACCATTATCTGCGTTCTATTCCAATTATATAATCTGCTTGGCATCCATCACGTTTTATTGCAGAACGAGATCCTGATTTTAGGGTTAAGTACCATTCTCCTCTTGTGCACATCAAGAGAGAGCTGCTTTCATTTTGTTAACTGTGGTGGAATGAAGCAACTTGCTGCATTGCTTGGTCATATGTTGCATGGATCAACAGCTTTTACACTGGTGTTGCTTGGTGCTCTGGAGAATGCTACACAACATGCAATTGGATGTGAAGGATTCTTGGGATGGTGGCCCCGAGTAGATGAGAATGTTCCTAGTGCTAAGAGTGAAGGTTATTCCAATTTACTAAATCTTTTACTCACAAAGCAGAGGCATGTTGTTGCTTCCCTTGCTACCTGTATTCTGCAACGTTTGCGTTTATATGAATCTGCCTCTAGGTACGAGGTATGTGCATATTTGTAAAACCATTTACTTGGTTCATATATATGTTTGAAATACGATTGACGAGATTGATTTTTTTTGGTAGTGTGCAGTCTTATCTACAATGGCATCCTCTGCTGAGGATGGACTTACTACTGATAAAATAGATCTTCTTCTCTCAGCTTCTTCTCATCTCAAACAAATAGTGGTCAGTTCTCATTTCTGATGCTTGCCAATATTTTCGTAGGATATTGGCATAGATCTTGCATCTGTTTAATCTTGATGCACATACACAACTTATTTAATTTTGCTTATAAAAATACTGCAGAAGTTGTTGAATTTATGTGGACCTATTGAAGATCCTTCACCTGCAGCTTTCACAAGAAGATCAATGCTTCCTGTTACATCAGATGGACTATTATCTTACAGAACAACTGCCAGTTATATTTCCTTGTCTAAATACAGCTTTTCGAAATGGGATATCAATACACATTTGTTATCCCTTCTCATGGTATTTTCTACTTAATCTTACTTGCCAGTCTTTATATTATACTGTCTGGTTATTTGTCACTTTCATATGTATAATTGTCTGGTACTCTTCAGTACTCCATGAGTAGAAAACATTCAGATCAGGCAGAATGTATTTGATTATATTAATAATTGGGTGATCAATATGGTCGTCTTTATGAAAGTTTCTTTATTTTCAGTCGTTTATTCTGTATTTTGATGGAGCATGCTAGAGTGGACATGCAGAAGTCTCTGTTCTGCTTCTTTTTATTGTTTATAGTTGGGGATGTTTCTATTGATCATTGAAATTACTGATTTTGCACAGTGCTTCAGAAACATGCTGTAATTTATTCTCCAACTGTAAAGAAAGTGGTGAAAGAAGCTTTTTTCCCATTTGCCTAGATGATTGAATCGCTGAACTGTATTTATGTAATTATTGCTGAGTCTCTGTGCTTCTATTGTTTTCTCTCCACATCTTTTATTGATAGTCATAATGGATGACCTTTTCAACATTTATTGAAATTCCACCTCATGTGCAAGCTGTGATCTTTGATGAATAGTAATTAATTTTCAGTCTCCTTTTGTGAACAGGAAAGAGGGTTTTTCCCTTTGTCTGCTGCTTTGCTGTCATCTCCTTTATTGCATTCAGTCAATGGGAGTAGAACAGATATCTTTGTGGACATCGCTACATCTATTCAGTCATTGCTTCTTTCTCTTCTTTCCTGTCGATCAGGTCTTTTTTCTGTCTCTTTTGTGTTTTGGACTGTGTACTTAATCGGATAGCTGGCACAATATGTTTTCCCCCTTTTACCAGGTTTGACTTTCTTACTGCTTCAACCGGAAGCTACAGCAACATTAGTTCTTTCTCTTCAAGGTGCTGAAGGCAAGTGCACAGCAGAATGCTTGACTCTTCGGCAGGCGGCTATTTTAATGTCAAAGGGATTCTTTTGTCATCCTCAGGAAATTGCAATGATTATGGAAATCCATCTCAGAGTGGTTAGTTAATTTTTTAATCTGTAAGCATAACTAAACAATGTTTTCCCCTTCCTACTGGTGCCATCTGCATGAAAACTATTACCTCATATTTTGTTTGAGATTAAGCACCATGCTTTCTGCATCTTGTCAAAATAAGAAGTGATCTGTGCAACTATGATTAGAAAAAAGGCTAAAAATTGTTGGATAAGCTTTTGGTTAATGATTGCACATCTTTGCGCTATTTTAGCTTTTTGATTGATGCATGATAGTGCATGGGTCCATGGTTTTCCTGTTTATCTTCATAAATAGATTGCTCCATGGACATGCATTACCATTTTTTCTGGTATGCAGTCGACCTGGGAAATTTGAAGACTGCAAGTTGTTATGCCTTTTCTGCCATCTAAGATCTTATGTACTGTGGAGTTCTTTCTGGAGACTGCGAGTCCTTGGAAAAAAAAAATCTGTTAGTTGCTTAGCTATGCAGTACAGATTCCAACTGAATAAATCTGGGTTTTCCATTTTTAGTCCGTCCAAATTCATATTGCTAATTTGGTAACCTGGTAATGCAAAGATTTCGTCTTCCTTTTTGCCAAAGAGCTGAGGTCTCATGGATTTTATCTCACAGCTTAGTTTGGTCATCATGGTTCTAGCAGTAAACACGAAGTACAGATGGCATTCTATTAGTTGAAGAGTCTGTATAATTTTCTTTCTCCATGCGAGAGGAAAAAACTTGTAATATTATGACCTTGGTTATACTTTTTCTGCTTTTGTATATATGCACGCTTCATTGAATTATGTTATGCATATAATTGCTTCGTCGAGCAGTCTTGAATGACTTCTTACATGCATCCTAATAGCTTGTGAGAGATTATGTCTTTCCTACCTGAACATATTCATATTGTTGCCAATTGCAGATAACTCAAGTGTTGCTTTTGTAGACGTAAGAATACTTACAGACTCACACATGGCATGACAAGATATGAATATAACTTAGAAGTAGGGTATATGCGAACTCCCAAGCAGTATCACAACATTATACCTTGCTGAAACTTGCGTTATTGAGGCTTAGGTTGCATGCCATGTCCTACCTGGCATCGACCTATGCTGTTTTCACTTTTTTAATGGAAAAGCACATCTTGTATAGAGATTACTATATATACAATATTCTTCTTGTTTATTTCTGCTAGTTGCTTAAAAGAAGGGCAAAATTTAGAAACTGAACTTGATATGGTGTAACTAGTGTAAACATTGCTCAGCCAAACATGTCATCTCATTCAACACGCACGTCATATGCATGTAAATGATCATTTTGACTTGTTGATGATTCTCACTATACATTCTGATTTTTTTTACCTCCTCAACTATTCTAGTAATAAACATTTGTTCTCATGCTGTATTGCAGGGAAATGCTATTGACCGCTTGCTTACAATAACTCCTCACTCCGATGAACTCTTATGGGTTCTGTGGGACCTCTGTACCATTTCAAGGTAGATTGTTAATCTTTGTTTATTTGAATTAGTTTGTTTGTTATTTTATAGACCCTAAGAGAGTTTTATGCAGGTCGGAATGTGGCCGCCAAGCCTTGTTGTCTCTTTGCTATTTTCCTGAGGTACTCATGTCACTGTAATATTGTGTAACATATTGTTTAAAGAAAGTCTGAATTCTTGTGTTGTGATCTGAACTTATAGAAATGTTCTGCTAGTTGATTGATAATCTTGCCCTCGTTTACTGAAACTGAGATGTCTTTGCCTGGTGCTACATTTCTTATTTTTTTTAAAATGCTGATTTGCAGGCATTGTCAGTGCTGATAGAAGCATTGCATTCATTCAAAGATTTAGAGAAAATTGCTACTGATGATGGTATAGGATTTATTTATTTTTAATTCAGCAATGATCTGACTGGAGATGGATGTTACATTTATCATCCTTTTCTATTGATTTCATCTTTGCACTTCACCCTCAAATATCTGGATTTCAGGAGCTTCACCACTAAGTCTTGCCACCTTCCATTCAGCTGCGGAAATTTTTGAAGTCATTGTCACAGATTCAACTGCATCATCTCTCAATTCCTGGATTGGACATGCTGTTGATCTGCACAAGGCATTACACTTGTCTTCCCCTGGGTCCAACCGAAAAGATGCTCCTACAAGGTTGTTGGAATGGATTGATGCAGGTGTAGTTTATCATAGAAATGGGGTGGTTGGACTTCTTCGATATGCAGCTATTTTGGCTTCTGGTGGAGATGCTCACTTGAGTTCAACAAGTGTTCTTGTGTCAGAGTCAATGGATGTTGAAAACGTTGTTGGGGATTCAACAAATGCTTCAGATACTCAGATTTTGGATTCTCTTCTTGGGAAGCTTGTTTCTGACAAATATTTCGATGGTGTTACTCTTGGGAGTTCTTCTATTGTTCAGCTAACTACTGCTGTTCGAATTTTGTCATTCATTTCAGAAAATTCTGTAAGCATATTATTTCTTGTTCAGCTGTTTGACATTTGTGAAATTATTTTCTTTTCTTCAATCACTTTATGAGATATTGTTTTTCTATGAAGGCTATGTCTGCATCGCTTTTTGAGGAGGGTGCCATGACCCTAGTATATGTGGTTCTGATCAACTGTAAATATATGCTTGAACAGTCATCTAATACTTATGGTGAGTTGGTTTTTGTGTTCCCCGTTATTGGTATTGAAAATCAATTGAATCATTGTTTTCTATTAGCATAAATAATTCTTTTCTATAGAATTCTTTTTTCATGTGTTGACCTGTAGTTGCAAATATGGTCATGGAAATAGCGAAAATGCAAAAGCATCAAAACAAACTTAGATTTGATATTATCTGGAATGTTCTCTCTGTTAAGAAACCCTTAATATGTATTCCACTGAATTTGTTCAGAATCTTCAGATGACTTGGAAGTATTTATCTATTTTTTTTAATTAAGAGTACATTCTATTTTCCACAATGGTCATAAAACACACCAGGACTTATCTTCTTTAGTTTGATCATTATGCTATTAGGTTGATACTAAACCTTGAAAGACTTGTTTAGGTTGGTACATGCAAAAAAAGAAGTAGTTTATTGTATTGCCATCAAAATTGTCATAAAACATGCAAGGAGTTATATTTATCTTCTTCAAAATCAGAGCACTATGCTGCTTCAAAAACTTGTTAAGGTAGTAATATAGTCACACACGCTTATAGATACTGATAGATACATTTCTATTCATCTTGATCTATATTTTAAAGTATATTGAAACAATGAGAAAAGCATGCTACATCCGCCCTCTTTTTGATGGTAACCTTATTCTCTCATCACAGCTCATTGTTCCCCTGAATGTGGTTATGGGAACTGAGTCAACAGCTGTCTCCGTGTTCTTTTTGGCTATTGTATGCATCTTCAATGAAGTTGGGACCTGGTCTTTTTCTTCACTTCTCTTAACTTCCCTCAGGTCACCTCCTAGATCGTGATGTTGTATTCAAGCTTCCTTTTGTATGTATGATTTCCAGGTCTCACAAGTCCTGTTTGGATATTGTTATTCACAAATATGAGAAGAACTTGCTTTCATTGTTTTAGATATCGGATATGGGGATTGAATCATATTGTGGAACTGTTCTTCAGAACAGTATCCTATTTCTGTATATTTCAACTAAACTCTAACGAAGGGCATATAATTAGTTTCTTATAAATTTTACATGTCACCTTAAATATATCTTAGTAATCTTTTACTAGAAAGATGGTAAGTTGCTTGTTGATGTAATTTTTACTTCAGCACTATAAAGAAAAAAGTGTAATTGCTTGTTCATCTGTTGTCTACTGCCTTGACATAATGATTTAGTTTTAGTTACAATAATTTAATCAGGGTATTGAAACCTTATTCTCTAAAACTTATGGAGCAAAGCTGCGGGCTTACAGGAACACATGTTTAAACTTGGTAACTTCTCGACAGTTAAAGAGAAACTTTCGTTATGAAAATGTATTCATCTTCAGGTGCAGTTTTGGGTTAAAACTTAAAAGTGACCTAATTTTTATTTTTGACGCCTTTCTTGTATTGGGTAATATTACTTTGGTACTGAATTCGTTTTAGTCTATTGTCATTTCAATATTATTAATACACTTTTAGAAGGTAGCTTATATGTAGAAAGAGAATTACTGGGTAATATTTATTTAGACTAGCGTCTGCAATCTCTTGGTAAACCAGTTTGCATCGTATTGCAGTTATATTGAATAAATACTGTTTTCACAGATTTTTCTCCTTCAGAAATTTCTTTAATGATCTTCAATTCTTGGACTTTTCATTTGTAGATTATCTGGTGGATGAAGGAGCAGAATGCAACTCTACGTCAGAATTGCTACTGGAAAGAATTAATGAACAGAACCTTGTAGACCTTATGATTCCCTCTCTTGCATTATTGATCAATCTTCTGCGGAAATTACATGTAAGTTTGCACTCTTCTTCCCAGTGTTTTAAACGTCGGCTGACATGTCGGATTTAGGGGCCAACCGACATGATATGGAGCTTTTCAATGCGTATTGCGTTTTCAGGGTTCCATGTTGGATATGTCGTGGGACATGTCGGATATGTCGGTTGGATATGTTGGGTGATATGTCGGTTATGTCGACCGATTTTTCAGTCTAAAAAATTGGCTTATTTTTTTGGTCAGTTTTTCTAAGAAGAAATTTTCTAAATAAACTCATTCATATTTTTTTTCTAAAAATAGACCCTATTGAGTTTTATTTACAAAAATATACCAATTTTATCTTAACCCGGTTCCTAAATGGTCGGGGTTGCCAACCCCGACTATTTAGGAGGTTGTAAACCCCCAATTATAACCCTAAACCCTAACATTCTATGCACTAAATAGTCGGGGTTGGCAACCCCGACTATTTAGAAACCAAATTAAGACAAAATGAGTCGATTTTTGTAAAAAAAACTCAAGGGGGTCTATTTTTAGAAAAAAATTATGAATGGGTTTGTTTAGAAAATTTCTTCTTTTTCTAATCAGGTTTGGGTTTAAATTCTTGATTGTCTTAATATTACTTCCAAAGACAAAAATCGATAAGTTAAGGGAAATAGAAAAAAGACCAAAGTAATATCCATCGCTCATCTTCTCTCTCTCTCCTTTGACATCCTATCGCTCTCTTCTCCAAGCTATTCCTTCGACATCAATATCGGGCGATCTTCTCTCTTCTTAACCGCTAATATCGGAGTCATCTTTTCTCACATCTTTCCTTCAACATCAACCTTAAGCATCATAAGTTATTTACTTTTTATATGTTTAGACAAAAGAATTTTTTAAGTCTGTTTAGATTTTATTTATGATATTTATATTACACATATGCACATCATCCGATATGGCAATCCGATATTTTTTCATCTCCTCTGACATATCCCTGATTTTCGCTATCCGACATGAATTTTAGCTGTCTGATATGAACCCGACATTCAACATTTAAAACCTTGCTTCTTCCTTGTGGAGTATCTTTCTGAGGTTTCTTCTAAATTTGGTCTGTAATATATCTTCAGATGATGCTTATGGTAGTTTATATGCATGAACCAAATCCAAACTTTAAATGAAGGGGAAAAACAAGTTGGCCCATTTTTCAACCCCAAATATCGGCCGAATTATTCGACATTCCTCTATATGCCGCTGTTTTTTTCTCCGAAACTCTGTTCATTTTTTAACCCTATATTTGTTGAGGCAACCCTCTTAAACCAACATGGCAGTTGCAACTTTAGAACCTTGACTTTCGGTGACTAAAACTTGAAAAAAATAATATAAAATAATAGTAAATTTAAAATAAAATAAAAAATAAAAATAAGATCAAACAATATGTTTAGTGCCATTAATATCATATGCGTATAAGTGCAGTAAAGGTTGACATCTAACAGCATTTACTTTAACCTTCATGATTTAGATTATATTTCTCTTTTGCTTCCATTACCTTAACAATAAGGTATCATGTGCTTTTACAGAACACAAAGACAAAGGAACCATATAGAAACAAGAAGTTAGTTAATGCTCTTCTGGGATTGCATAGAGAAGTGAGGTAAGGTATCATTATCTTTGCATTTTCTTTTAAACAGCATGATCCTAATTTAAAGAAGAGTGTTTTTGCAGTCCAAAATTAGCAGCATGTGCAACTGACTATTCCTCCGCATATCCAAGTCTCGTGCTTGGATTTGGTGCTGTCTGTCACCTTATTGCGTCTGCATTAGCCTACTGGGGTGTGTGTAACTGGACACCTGGCCTATTTCATTGTCTTCTTGGAAGTGTTCCAGCAAGTGCATCATTGGCATTGGGCCCAAAGGATGCCTGCAGCATGTTGCATCTTTTGGTATGCATCTTCTAAAAATAAATATTTTGTATGACCTGTATGCTACATTCAAATGCGTTCATTCATGTGGAATTTATAATACGCTAATGCAGGTTAACCTGTCATTTCCTTACTTTCTTTGACTCTATAATCATATTAACTTTATTTTTTTTTGTCATTTTGCAAAAAGGCTGGTCTTTTACCAGACGAAGGTATATGGCTTTGGTGTGACGGAATGCCTCCTCTCTGTGCTCTTAAAACTCTGAGCATTGGGACGATATTAGGGCCTGAAGCTGAGGGATACATTGACTGGTTTTTACAGCCAGATTACTTGAATATGTTGCTTGTAAAACTGACATCTCAACTTAGTAGAATTGGACATATTATACTGAATTTTGCCTTCAGTGTACGTGCTTCTACTTTACAAGCTAGAGATAAAAGTAATCTTTGTTTGCTTGTGTTATGTTTTTTCAACTCATTTCGTATAAATGTTATACTTCTTTGAGCAGACGTTGGTAGTCATACAAGACATGCTTCGAGTTTTCATAATTCGCATTGCCTGCCAGAGACCTGAATATGCGGACGTCCTGCTGCAGCCACTGATTTTATGGATCAAGAATCATATGAGTGAAACATCTCTGTCTGAAGTAGATAGCTTCAAGGTATCAAGTTGAGCTTCTTTTTCCTTCCACTCAACAAAAGGTCTAATTTTCAGTTTATCTGTTTGCTTTTTGTGTTCTTTCTCAGGTGTATAGGTTGCTTACTTTTCTTGCTAGTTTGTTGGAGCATCCACGTGCCAAGGTCACTTAATTATTGTTTTCTGTTAAGTTGTAGTGCAGACTTTCACTTAATTATTGTTTTCTGTTAAGTTGTAGTGCAGACTTTCACCTGAAAATTTGAGAGCTGGACTTGTTGGTATTGCTATGCTTTATGCTTTCTTTTCTCTTGTGGCTTATCCTTGTACATTTTTCAGATACTATTATGCAAGGCGGACACTATCAGAACTCTGGTTAATGTAGTCAAGAGATGTAATGATGCATATAGCTCAGGCAGTGAGTTGGTTCTAGAGAATAGAGTGCCTGGTAAAATCGTATCTTCCCTGCTTAGTTGGAGTATACCTGTCTTCAAGTCTTTGGCTTTGATTTTTGATCCCCGAACATCTGTTCCGTACTCCGAAAAGTATGGCATGTGAGTGTATTTGCTGCATTTTACAACTCTACATTTATTATGATGTGTATGCAGTATTTAAATGTTTTTATATACTGTGACATTTTAGTGACGATATCAGTATTGAAGTTAGTACCACAATTGGACGCCAACTTCTGAGATCATGCCAGGTATTTGAAAGATTTAAGTTAAAGTTATATTATTTTATTTGATAATCTTGTGATGTAGTGCGTGTTTAAAAGTTTTTACATTCAAGGATCTTTATTTTCCTAATTGTAGTTTACCTTGGTTGTTGAGTTTGCTACTATGTTGCATGGGTATTTCTATCTAGGGCCGTACCCATACCCAACACAGAAACTTCCATAGACACTCCTTGGATATTTGCACACACTTATTCATATGTGTACTCAATTAGATAATACATGTTTCAATGTAAACACTTGCTATATGCATCTTGGATGTATATCTTACACTTCACATGCAATTCTTGAAACTTGTTGGACTTATATCAGGTTTGTCTCACCCCATACCCAGTTCAAAAATATAATTATAAAGGGTCTTTTGGGTATCAAGTTAAGAAAACAAGCAATGGGTATGCTTGGTACCGAGCACAAAAAATGATGCTTGGTAGTGAGGTGGCTCATAATCATCTACATATGTATATCCTACACTTCACATAGAATTCTTGAAACTTGTTGGACTTATATCAGGTTGGTCTCACCCCATACCCAGTGTCAAAATGGTCCTGCACATATTCACTAATTACATAAAAGAAATATTCAAATTAACATAAAAAATAAGTCCCCTCATTCACGCTTGCCCTCAAATTTGTTTTTGTTAAAAAGCACTTCTGTAAGCCTCATGGTGTATTTGAGTTGTAACCTTTGTAAGAAAGTCATCTATCTGGTCATTTATGGCTATGTGAAAAAGGTCCTAATGTTTTCTCTAAGGTTTGATGAAAAAATGACAAACTGTATGTCTAGTGTGCTTATGAAAGATTGGGTAGGCGTTATTTGCATAAACTGGTGAGAAAGATATTCTATAATCTTGAAAAGACATCTTAACTATATAATCTACTGCAAGCTCAAGACATTCCTTGATATTTGGTGTTAGTCACTTGGTTCTCATTTCCACGGTCCTAGCGAGTCATCATCTATTTTCCTACAAAATATGTCTTCATAATTTTGTTAAATAGTAACTATTCACTTTGTCCTTTCATGGGTAAAAGGTTTCTGTTGTTTTAGGTGGTTGCCTGGGTGGGAGAGGCTATTTATTTACTTTTTTTTCTGAGCAGGGTGAGGCAGGTTGGTGGTGTTTTTTGTTCTCTTTTCTTTTTCTTTTTGTGTGTGTTGTTGTTTTTGTTTTTTTTTTTTTTTTTTTTGAGTCTTGGGAGCTTGGAGGCGGGGGAATGATTTTTGAAGCATCATCTTGTCTGTCATCCGATGGGGAAGATGTAATTTGTATTTTTATTTATACTTGTCGCGGTTCATAACATCACCTTGAAGTGGTAATGGTGCAACTAAGACAAGCCATCATGATTTTAAAGCGATGTGGTTCTTTTTCCTTGCCTCGGTTTCATGAGAGAATATTACCTTAGAGAAGGGATTCAAGAGGACCGTGCCTGCCTTCTGTCTTTATATACCTTTTATACATTAAATCACTAATCATGTATCCCTTTAGGCCACTTTATCCCTTATGATTGTAGAGATTATCATATACCAATTGTTCTAAAAGAAACATGTCAGATCCCTGGTCAAATCGTAGACATAATCTTACAAACCTACCACAGTTGTTCTGTGACCCCAGCCCCTTGTTAGCTTTGCTATGAGTCATGATCATCTATATGGTTCAGTTTCAATGCATCATGCACAATTAAGTTCTTACCAAGGCTGAAGAGCTCAAGGAACCCCCTCTTATTGGGATGGTGAAGGCCTTCTATTCTATTCTTCGTATCAGAAGGATGTTAACTCCATGGATTACTTGGATTTATTTGGTGTATTTATGATTGGCCACTTGGGATCAACTTGATGGCAGGGGCTCTT